TGACATCTTCTTTGATTCTCTCTCTTAAAGTTTAGCAAAGTTTCACGCATTCGGTCTTCGATTTCTAATCACCTGCTGTCCGTATTTCCTTTCATTTTTTCATGAACTCTTTGCTTGTTCCATAACTTTTCAATCGACCATCATAAATCATGTTACGGAGATGCCTTCCACTACCTCAGTAATGGCTTTCGATGTATCCTCATGCACTTCGACCACTTCGGGTCTACTGCTTTTCCTGTTTCTTTTTCTTGCATTTCGTGAACAACATCCGGGTCGATTGCTTAATTTTAGCTGAAATGGCGGGAGAGTTTTCTTCAGTGTTTCTACATAGAGTAACTTTCCTCTTGTCTTCAGCAATTTCCTTCTGTCGAAAGCTCAGTCCAGACGCACTTTGCCCTCCGCATCTCTACTCCTTTCATTAAACCCGTTCAGCACAGCGACAACCTGCGCGACGTTCTTCACGTTGTTTGGATGAAATCGATTTCGTTCTTAGTATCTTGTTGGTATTAAAGTTTTCATTTATTTTTTTAAAATTTTTTTCCGCCAAAAAATGGTCATAATAAACAACGTGTTCTGTTCAGCGAACTTCACCGGTCGATCAACCCTGTTGTTTCCTTTGTCCTATTCAAATCGGTCCCAGTGCATGCTATTCCATATTACGGTCAGACTTTACCATTGAAATGAACCCCACCAATGATAAACTTGCAATTGCTTCTTATATGTATGCGATTCTTCTTTTCATCATAAAACACTTTTAATTTTCTCATCAGGGTGCTTGATTATGCACATATGCGTGGATCACTTGGAGTTCTTTTCTCTTTCAAAATTTCAGAACCAATTTTGCAGACCTCTCTGAAGCGCTGTCTGCCAGCACTAAAATGATCTTTAACCTTCTATGGATAATGAACGCTACTGTCCCTGTACTTCCATTTTCCACTCTTCTGTAGAGGAGGACTTATCTACTTTTGAACTTCAGCAGCCCTTCTTCCATTTTACTATATTCACTGAGTCTGGTAATGCCTCCCCCGCCCTCCCCGCACCCTGATTTTGCAAAGTTCCTTTTGCAGCTTTTCAAGACATGGTTGCACCTAAAAATGATATGTAATTGTATGCTGCTAGCATTAGTGAACCATAGCATCGAATAAGCAGCAACGCTAGCATTGCTAGCACTTTTGCCTTCATACCTGATCAGCTGCAGCCTTCGCCAAAGACTGTCCAGTCTCTAGAGAACGGGAGGCGTGGTTTCGGTTGTAAATTCACCTTTGAGGATTTGGCCAAAATTCACCAATACTGGCCAGGGAGTTTGGTGAGTGTTGCCTCTTCCACTCCAACAGGTATATTTCTCAAGGTTTAATGGCATGGTCGTTTAAGGGCTAAGCTGTGCATCGTCTTTAGAACCAGTTGTCATAGCGGAATTTGGACTTAAGAGGGACTCATGTGTTATCATAACGGTTATTATTACACTTTGATGGCAAGCGGTATGTTGTCGATCGAAACGAAGGTCGGGAAAGTCAAGGTATGTTTACTACTTTGTAACACTCCTAAATCGAAACTAAGACCTATGACCATTTTCGATGTTAAAAGAAACTTAAGACTTTTCATAATCAGTGCCTTCCGTTTCCTCTGTTTATTTCCATTCCATATTTTAATCTTAGAGAGTCAGCGGTTTCTGTACGAATCCGCGATTGTGCGAGGGTCCAACGCCAACCGGGCCGTTGCTAGTACTACCTCCGGATTGTTCCTCATGTGACACGCCAGCCAATCAGAAAGCGGTACTCTTTTGCTAGGCAAAGTTTCGTCACTTCGCCGCCGTGCAGCGCTGGCGACAGAGATTCCTCGTGGCCAGCTCTCGAAGAGGGGTCGTCACTGATGGCGAGCTTCGTGTATCGTCGTAGAACTGCGAAGAAAGCCGTTGAAAATTGTCCACTGTTTACCGACAGCACAGCACAGCTTAGGACGCTTTATTATTCACTACCACGTTGTGAATACACCACTAAGAAAAGCGTCAGGTGAAATCATCTATCGATCGGTGATTCACCTTACCGGTGACCGTAAGCTTTTCGGCCGACGCGAAAATTACTTTCATCGCAAAAAGCAAAATAAATAAACAGCAGTCATAGCTTTCCGAGCGCTTTTAACCAACGCGCGATATTCAACTTCATTTCCTAAGCTCCTCGTCAGACACGAACAAAGCAAACAACAGTCATACTAAAATTATATGCGTCGGGGGGGGGGTCACAGGGAAAGAGAGCGATGCTCTCTATGTCAGAAAAATAAAGGCACCCCACCCCCCCCCTTCCCACCTGTTGTCGGCACATTGCTTCACTTTACTCGCAACGACGTTAACAATGGACGTCAGGATGGGAAGAACAATCATATTTAGCAAATTGACGAAGTGCATTTCTAGTTGATGAGCAAGCCGAGTTGTAGCAGATCTATAGATCTTGAAGGGCCGAGGCGCTTTTCGAGAGAGGTGATGACCTTCGTCATCAAGAACTCATGCGGTTCGATACACAGCGAGTGTTTTGCACTTTAGGGATATCTTTAACTGAGGAAGAGGGACCTCACCGTTCTAGACTAGCTGGTTCTTCGGAGTGAGAAGTCAGACTGTAATTTTTTGGGCAGGTTTTCCGAATGGCTCCATAAATGAAGGTGAAACAACGACCATTTGCTCACCAACCTGCTCAAGACCCTGGAAGGCTAAGAATGACTTGGAGCAAGTGCTTCGGTGAATTTTTCTCTCGAATACTACTAACTATGGTTCTCTGCTATCGAAGCTCAGACGTTGG